TTTCCAAAAAGAAGCTCTATGCAAAGATATTTTTTGATGATGTTTGAATGACAGCAAGGAGTTACTTAAAAATATCTTTTTCCATTTTCATGTTGGTGTTATATAAATCATTCTAGAATTGTCTATTAGCTGGCTTTTTTAAGATTTTATTTATTCATTTGAGAAAGACAGAGGGAGCACAAGCAAGGGGAGAGGGAGTGGGAGAGGGAGAAGCAGACCCCCTGCTGAGCTGGGACCCCCCCCCCCGACACGGGGCTCAGTCCCAGGACCTGGAGATCATGACCTGAGTTGAAGGCAGATGCTTAACCATCTGAGCCCCCAGGTGCCCCTATTAGCTGGTTTTGCTGCATAACGAACAGTCCCCAAACTTAGTGACTTAAAACAATAAACCTTAAATTATTTCTCATGATTCTGTGGGTTAGCTGGGTGGTTCGGGTACCTTCTCAGTTGGGGCTGGAGGGTAGAGGATGGCCTTGCTCACATATCTGGCAGATGGCAGGCTGGTAAGTCTAAGAGCAGCCTCTGTTGGCTTGGCTCAACCCTGCTCCAGCAGTCTAGCCTAGGCTTAGAGTTCCCAAGAGCAGCGTATGTAAGCCCGTCTCAAGCCTTTGCTTACATCACATTGCTACTGTCCTATAGGCCAAAGCAAGTCTAAGGTCAGCTGAGATTCAAAGGGTGAAAAAGTAGACTCCACCTCTTTTTTTTTTTTTAGATTTTATTTATTTATTTGACAGAGAGAGACAGTGAGGGAGGGAACACAAGCAGGGGGAGTGGGAGAGGGAGAAGCAGGCTTTCCGCTGAGCAGGGAGCCCAACGCGGGGCTCGATCCCAGGACCCTGGGATCATGACCTGAGCCGAAGGCAGACGCTTAAGGACTGAGCCACCCAGGTGCCCCTAGACTCCACCTCTTGATGGGAGAAGCTGTTGAAGTCACAGTGCACAGGGGCATGGATATAGGGAAGAGTGAAGAATTAGGGCCAGTTCTATGATTTACCCCAAATAGGTTTGGTCTCTAACCATTAAATGCTTAGAGACCTCTGGATGTTACTTGAATTATGAATTTTATTATCAACTGAGTGTGCTGAAATAAAGCCTATAGGGACACCTGGGTGGTGTAGTCGTTTGGGCTTCCAACTCTTGGTTTCGGCTCGGGTTGTGATCTCGGGATCATGGGATGGAGCCCCGAGTTAGGCTCTGCACTCAGCTCGGAGTCTGCTTGAGATTCTCTCTCTCCCTCTCCCTCTGCCCCTCCCTGCCCTCTCTCTCCCTCTCTCTCTAAAAAAAAGATAAGGGGTGCCTAGAAGTCAGTGGAGCATGCAAATGACTCTTGATCATGAGGTTCTGAGTGTTCTGGCCCCACGTTGGGCATAGAGCTTACAAAAAAAAAAGATAAAAGGCATACAGATTGGAAAGGAAGAGATTAAACTGCCTCTATTCACAGACACCAAGATTGTCTATGTAGAAAATCTCAAGGAATCTACAAAAGAAAAACAAAAAAACCCCTCCTAAAACTAATGAATAAGCTTAGCATGGTCGCAGTGTACAAGGTCAACAAACAAAATTCAATCGCATTGGAAACCGATGTAGAATTGATAACCAAAGAAATATACAGTGGGCACCTGGGTGGCTCGGTCTGTTAAGCTCTGTCTTCGGCTCAGGTCATGATCCCAGGGTCCTGGGATAGAGTCCAGCACTGGGCTCCCTGCTCAGCGGGAAGCCTGCTTCTCCCTCTACCCTTCCCCCCGGCTCGTGCTCTCTCTCTCACTCTCTCTCTCTCAAATAAGTAAATAAAATTAAAAACAAACAACAACAAAGAAATGTACAACAGCTCCACCAAAAATGAAATACTTAGTTATAAACCTAATAAAGCATGTACTGGGACTGCATGCTGTAAACTACAAAATGTTGGCCAAAGAAATCAACAACAGCTTGATAAATGAAGAGGCATGTTGTGTTCAGTGACTGGAAGATTCAACACAAGAAAAATGCCAGTTTCCCCCAAATTGGTCTAAATATTTAATGCAATACCAATCAAAATCCCAGCAGGAATTTGTGTAATTATACACAAACTGATTTCAAAATTTATATGGAAGGATAAAGGAACTAGAATAGCTAAGGTAATTTTGGAAAAGCAGGAATAAAGTTGGAGGAATCACACCAATCAATTTTTAAAATTATGGTAAAATGATCGTACCCAAGGGGCGCCTGGCTGGCTCAGTCGGTAGAGCATGCAACTCTTGATCTCAGGGTCATGAGTTCAAGCCCCACGTCGGGCATGGAGCCTACTAAATATAAATAAATAAATAAATAAATAAATAAATAAATAAATAAATGTATATAAGAGTGAGGGGAGGGCCGCTTGGGTGGCTCAGTCATTAAACATCTGCCTTCGGCTCAGGTCATGATCCCAGGGTCCTGGGATTGAGCCCCACATCAGGCTCCCTGCTCAGTGGGGAGCCTGCTTCTCCCTCTCCCTTTCCCTCTGCCCCTCCACCCACTCGTGCTCTCTCTCAAATCAATCAATCAATCAATAAAATCTTTAAAAGAAAAAAAGGGGTGCCTGGGTGTCTCAGTCGTTAAGCATCTGCCTTGGGCTCAGGTCATGGTCCCGGGGTCCTGGGATCGAGCCCCGCATCGGGCTCCCTGCTCCGCGGGAAGCCTGCTTCTCCCTCTCCCGCTCCCCCTGCTTGTGTTCCCTCTCTTGCTGTCACTCTCTCTGTCAAATAAATAAATAAAATCTTTAAAAAGAAACTAAAAGGCAGCCTACAGAATGGGAGAAGATATTTGCAAGTGACATACCCAATAAAGGGTTCGTATCCAAAATATATAAAGAACTTATACAACTCAACACCCAAAAACCAAATAATCCAATTTAAAAAATGGGCAGAAAACATGAACAGACATTTCTCCAAAGAAAACATCCAGATGGCCAACAGACACATGAAAAGATGTTCGACGTCACTCATCATCAAGGAAATACAAATCAAAACTACAATGAGGGTGCCTGGGTGGCTCAGTTGGTTGGGCGACTGCCTTCAGCTCGGGTCATGATCCTGGAGTCCTGGAATCGAGTCCCACATCGGGCTTCCGGCTTGGCGGGAGATCTGCTTCTCCCTCTGACCCTCTCCCCTCTCATGCTGTTCCTCTCTCTCAAATAAATAAATAAATAAATAAATAAAATCTTAAAAAAAAAAGACTCCTAGCTCTTTAAAAAAAAAAAAACTACAATGAGATATCACCTCACACCTGTCAGGATGGGTAAAACCAAAAACAAAAGAGACAAGTATTGGCAAGTATGTAGAGAAAAAGGAACACTTGTGCACTGTCAGTGGGAAAGCAAACTGGTGCAGCCAGTCTGCAAAACAGTATGGAGGTTCCTCGAAAAATCAAAAATAGAACTGCCTTCCGGTAATCGCTCTATTGGGTATTTACCCAAAGACTATAAAAACACTAATTTGAAGGGATATATGCACCCTTATGTTTACTGCAGCATTATTTACAATAGCCAAGATATGGAAGCCCCCCATGTATCCAACAATAGGTGAAGAAGTGGCTTATATATATATATATATATTACTCAGCCATAAGAAAGAATGAAATCTTGCCACTTGCAACCACATGGTTGGAGCCAGAGCATATTATGCAAAGTGAAGTCAGAGAAAGACAAATACCATATGACTTCACTCATGTGGAATTTAAGAAACAGACAAATGAGCAAAGGGCAGAGAGAGAGAGAAACCAATAAACAAGATTTTTTTTTAAAAGATTTTATTTATTTGACAGAGAGAGAGACAGCGAGAGAGGGAACACAAGCAGGGGGAGTGGGAGAGGGAGAAGTAGGCTTCCCGCAGAGCAGGGAGCCTGATCCCAGGACCCTGGCACCATGACTCAAGCTGAAGGCAAACGCTTAACGACTGAGCCACCTGGGTGCGCAAGAAACAAGATTCTTAACTATAGAGAACACACTCATGGTTATCAGAGGGGAGGGAGTAAGGGGGGATGGGCGAGACAGGTGATAGGGATTGAGGAGGGCACTAGTCCTGATGAGCATCAGGTGTTGTACGGAAGTGTTGAATCACTATATTACATACCTGAAACTAATATAGCACTGTATGTGAAATATACTGGAATTAAAAAAAAAACAACCTCTGTAATTATATTTTTACAAAAGCGTTGGAACAATTGCTCATCCATATGCAAAAAATGAACTTCAATGGAAACCTCACACTTTATACAAAAATTAATGAAAACCGGATGGATGATAGATCTATATGTCAAACATAAAACAAATGGGGTGCGCGTGGTCCAGTTGGTTAAACTTCCAACTCTTGATTTCCGCTCAGGTCACAATCTCACAGTCCTAAAGTTGAGCCCCATGTCGGGATTCTCTCTCCCTCTGACCCCTGCCCTCCGCTGGCTCGCACATGCTCTTTCTCTCTCTCAAAAAAAATCATAAAACAATCAAACTTTTAAAAAGAAGACCTGAGGGGACGCCTGGGTGGCTCAGATGGTTAAGCGTCTGCCTTGACCCCAGGGTCCTGGGATCGAGTCCCGCGTGGAGTCTTTGCTCAGCAGAGACCCTGCTTCTCCCTCTCCCTCTCCCCCTCCCCCCTGCTTGTGCTCTCTCCCTCCCTCCTTCTCTCTCTCAAATGAATAAATAAAGCCTTAAAAAAAAAAGAAGACGTGGGAGAAAATCCTCGTAACCAAGAATTAGGTGGAGAGCTCTTAGGACACAAAACACACGATCCACAACAGAAAAAAAATGTAAATTGGACTTCATCAAAATTAAAACTTTTGTTCTGCGAGAGACACTGTTAAAAGAATGGAAAGACAAGGTACAGACTGGGAGGAAATATTTGTAAATCGCATTTACAGAGAACTCGAATCCAGAATATGCAAAGAACTCTTGACACTCAACAATTAGAAAACAAGCCTAGGGGCGCCTGGGTGGCTCAGTCATTAAGCATCTGCCTTCCGCTCAGGTCAAGATCCCGGGGTCCTGAGTGTGTGCTCCTGGCCTCTCTCCGGCCAGTGGCCTACCGGGCGCCCTCTTATGTTCCCACTTCTGATCCCTCTCTTCCTTTTCCTCAACTTCAGGTGGAACCGCCGCCAGGATGCAGATTTTCGTGAAAACCCTTACGGGGAAGACCATCACTCTCGCGGTTGAACGCTCGGATACAATAGAAAATGTAAAGGCCAAGATTCAGGATAAGGAAGGAATTCCTCCTGATCAGCAGAGACTGATCTTTGCTGGCAAGCAACTGGAAGATGGACGCACTTTGTCTGACTACAACATTCAAAAGGAGTCCACTCTTCATCTTGTGTTGAGACTTCGTGGTGATGCTAAGAAAAGGAAGAAGAAGTCTTATACCACTCCCAAGAAGAATAAGCATAAGAGAAAGAAGGTTAAACTGGCCGTCCTGAAATACTATAAGGTGGATGAGAACGGCAAAATCAGTCGCCTTCGTCGGGAGTGCCCTTCAGATGAGTGTGGTGCTGGAGTTTTCATGGCTAGCCACTTCGACAGACATTATTGTGGCAAATGTTGTCTGACTTATTGCTTCAACAAACCAGAAGACAAGTAATTGT